TCTTAAGAAAGTGATCAAATCCAAGTTCAATCCCCGGTACCAAAAATTAAAATAAAAAAAAGTGATCAAATTTAGCCTTGGCTTTATGGACCTCCTGATGTGATACAGTAAGAAGTATGTAATAATACCAATGTGTCATTCTTGGCAAAACTGTTTCTGTTGAATCTAATCATAAGGAAACAATCAGATCATTTCAGAACATGGAACATGGGACAAGACCAACTGGCCTGGATCCTTCCACAACTGACTGGAAGAGACTTAAGAGACTAAAGATACTGATACAAGAAACCTAGATTGGAAAGATCAGAAAATAGAATAGCTTCAGAAAGATATTTTGGGGGGCATTTGGGAAATTTGAATACGGATTATACATTGGATGACATTATGAAACAAATATTCATTTTCCTAGGAGTGATATGATGATTCTATAGGAAACTGTTTTATTCTCAGGAGTTGTTGACTAATATACCTAGACGTAAAATGTTATGACAGCAATTTATTTTCACCTATTTCCATTCAACATAGGAGTGTTGTATGGGTGTGTGAAGAAAGAGCAATAAAGTGAATGTAGCAAAATCCTAACAACTGTGGAATAAATGAAGGATATGTGTGCACTTAACTATTCTGTTGATTTGAAATTTTTCAAATAAAAGTTAGGTGAGGGCTGGGGATTTAGCTCAGTGGTTTCACCACCTGCCTTGCAAGTACAAGGGCTCAAATTCAATCCCTGATACCAAAAAAAAAGTTAGGTGAAAAAACCCAAAATGCTAATGGCGGCAAGCTGAAAGTACCTGGAATGTGTCAGTCTAAACAAGGGACAGGACAGCAAGGTTCATCTGAGTCCCAGATTTTCTCTTTTGGGAAGCAGTGATTGCTACATTGTTTTCCATTCTTAAAATCTTCCTAAATTCTAGCACAACAAAAAGTTCTGCAGGATTTTTTAAAATGTCATGACTGTTTCCATATTCTGGGGAATGTTTTTCCCTAAGTACCAAGACAAAACACAAATATGCCCCCTGTCTCTATGAGAGAGAAGGAGGACTGAGTTTTGATGCCTGAGGGAGGATTCTTGTCCAAGAAGCAAGCGGGAACTGGCATTCTGGTTTCCCATAATACAAGCTCCGACCCTGGCTCACCCCAGAAAGGATCACCCCATTGTGTAACTGGCAGTCAACAGAAGGAAAAACATTCTCCCTCTTAACAGTTCTTCCTTTAGAACTCAAAACTCACTGACACCCATGGCCCATGTAGCTTGAGAGGGTGGAAAATTTAGAGAAGGCTTCAAACTCGTAAAAACCCATTTCAGAATTAGAGGCCTGGAGGACACGTTTTCAGAGGAAGGTCAAAGACAGTGGGTTATCTTGCCAGAAGTGTAAATATATGGCAACAATTCAACAATGGTTCTTCTGATATGCCAAGACTATGGCAACTAGATGCTCTCTGCTCTACGGGACAGGAAAGAGGAAACTGTCATCACGAGGAATTGGTTTCTGTGAAGGTGTTGGGAAGGGGCTGAGCATCACCAGGATGTGTCTGTACAACTAGACTTCCTCTCAAGGTGCTTTAAAACTTGACCACAAAAAATAGAGAGAGGTGGAGGTTTTGAAGGGAGGGCAGGGAAAAGGGAAAAAATAAGAATCAAGACATATTACGTAAAGGTACAAATCTCTAATGATAAATGTCATATTGTATACCTAAAATGTACTGATAAAATTAAATTTTAAAGAAATGACTACAAATAAGGTTAAAAGAATATTTTGAAGCTAGACATGGTGGTGCACACCTGTAACCCCAGCATTTGGGAGGCTGAGGCAGGAGGGTTGCTGTGAGTTTGAGGAAAACCTGGGCTAAATGGTGAACTCAAGGCCAGTATGAATCACATAGTGAAACCCTGTCTCAAAAAACTAAAAGAAGGGCCAGAGATTTAGCTCAGTGGTGCCGCTGCCTGCCTCACAAGTGCAAGGTCCAGAGTTCTATCCATTAAAAAAAAGAAGAAGAAGAATAGAAGAATATTTTGTATTTTGAAACTGGGCGTTGTGGAATATGCCTGTCATCCTAGCATTCTGAGTGGCAGAGGTAGGAGGATTGCAAGTGCAAGCCCAACCTGGCCAATTTAGCAAGACCCTGTCTTTAAAAAATAAATAAATAAATAAAATTAAAAGGGCTGGGATGGGGCCGGGATTTAGCTCAGTGGTTCTGCCGCCTGCCTCACAAGGACAAGGACCCGAATTTGATCCCCAGTACCACACACAAATATAAAAATGAACATTTTAGAAGAGAAAGGCAGGATGGCTAGAGATTGCACCTAGTGCTTTGTGCATACAGCATGAGCTCTATCAGTGAACCATACCCTCAAGCACTAAAGTAACATCTTTTTTTCCTCCTTATTGAGTTTATTGGTACATTTTAGGTACAGTTACATTCATTATTGGGATCTTGTACCTCTACATGACAGGTCTTGGTTCTCATTTTCTCCCCTTGTCCCTGCCCTCCCTTCACCACTTTAAAGTAACATCTTAAAAGTGATTTGAGGGCCGGGGATTTAGCTCAGTGGTCTGCTACCTGCCTTGCAGGCAAACACAAAGACCTGAGTTTGATCCCTGGTACCACAAAAAAAAAAAAAAAAAAAGAAAAAAAAGAGTGATTAGAGCTGTGAGAATTTTAATTGACCCAGAAAATTCTTAGGGTTCATTTAAGTTAACCGATAGAAGTTTCTTTTATCTCTTTCCTTTCCTGATTCCCAACTACCTGCCTTTCTGCCTCCCTCCCTCCTTTCTGCCTTCATTCCTTCCCGTCTTTTCTTCTCCTTCCTTCTTCTCTTAATTCATCTGCCAGACAAATCGGGTACCAAGATCTTCCTCAAGGGACATAAAATATTCCCTCATCCTATGAGTCTCTGGATCACTATGCATGACAGAAACTGTGTTCTAAATCAGTATTAAAACATTTTGAACTCTAGGGCCGGGATTTAGCTCAGCGGTTCCACCACCTGCCTTGCAAGCACAAAGACCCGAATTCGATTCCCACACCAAAACAAACAAACAAAAACCTTTCAAACTCTAAATTACAGGAACTTGATATTACCTACCCAACACACTGATTGGTCTGGGTGAGAGGTTGAAAGTAAAAATTAGTATGATAGTCGCGGGTTTGGCTCAATGGTTCCACTGCCTGCCACAAATGCAAGGGCCCAAGTTCCATCCCCAGTACCAAAGAAAAAAATTAGTATGATAGTTAAAATGAGCTTGGGGAAAAAAGGAAAGTCACATCCTTCTCAGAACTTACAAAGATGAGGTGCCTGCTGAGCTCGCAGAGGATGGTCACCACCTTAGCTCTGAAGTTAACTCTCCTACTTTTTAAATTTTTCTAACATCTCTCAAAACTTACTTGTTCTCTAGATGTCTTGGTGCACACCTGTAATCCCAGCTACTTGAAGACTACAAATGTTGAGACCAGCCTAACCAATTTAGCAAGACCCAATTAAAAACAAAAACTACCATCGTAGTTGTGTGTGCGTGCGTGTGTGTGTGCGTGTGTGTGTGTGTGCGCGTGATAAGGAGGACTAAATTCAGGGCCTTCAACACTGACTTGCATCCCCAGCCCTTTTTTATCTTGATAGAGGGTCTTACTAATTCACACAATTGCCCAGGTTGAGCTCAAACTTGGGATCTTCCTCCCTCAGTTTCCCAGAGGAATTACAAGGGATTACACCACCATCATATCCAGTGCTTTATTTTTTCTTTTTGTTAGCTTTTGCAGTGTTGGGAATGGAACCCAGGACTTTGTGTAAGCTCAGCGCATTCTCCACCACTGAGCTACACACCAGCCCTTGCTTGCTTTTTCTTTTTTTAAAGAACTTTTCTGGTTCTAACATAGTAAATGATGTGTGAGAATCAAATAAATTGTAACCATGCATTGCTGATAAAAAGGCTGAATGCAACTTGATTCCTAGAGGGACTTGTCTTTATATCGACAGATGGAAAGAGACAAAAGTGTGCTCATTACATGAAAGCAGATTTATAACATTCCAAAAGCTCAAAGGTGATTTACGATGGAGACGGGGATTTAGCTCAGTGGTTCCGCCGCCTGCCTCACAATCGCAAGGTCCCGAGTTACAACCCTGGTACAAAAATAAATGATTTTTTTAAAGTTGATTTGTAACGATAATTATTTGGTTTGACTTTTGCTTTGGTCCATCTGTTTTCTTCTTTTTCAACCAAACCCAACTTTTTCATTTATGCCAGGCTATTGCGTATGAGTCCAAGCTTTCCAATGACTATTCACAGATCATCGCCCTTCCAATCCTTGCCAGATTCCATTTTCAACAAAACTAAAACTCACGGGTGAGCTTCGACCCCTCCCTGAACCGGAAACTGAACCCTGGGCCTTTGCACTGTGCTAGGTCCCCAGCTCTTTTTATTTATTATTTATTTATTTATTTTTACTAAATTGCTGGGTGTGGGCTTGAACTTTCAGTCCTCCTCTGCCTCGGCCTCAGCCAGGGCTGGGTTACAAACACGCACCACCACCCCTGGGTTTTCCTTGTAGTTGTGTATCATGAGCCCTGGGAGCTCCGCTGGTCCTGGGAACAAGGTAAAACGATTCTCCGATGCACATACATACTCCGGCATGGGCATTCCCTCTAAGCTTGAGGAACCCACTAAAACAAGGCTAAAGCCAATCAGATAAACTACAGGCTCTAGAGAGCATCGCAGTGACCTCTGAAGAGCACGGAGACGGCGGGACCCTGCGGCCTTTCCTTTCTCTTGGACCCACAGCGCCATCTCTTGGCTTCCCTGATAATAATTATCTTGACGCAGGAATAGGAGGAGATTCCTCAACTGAAATGAATTTATTTTGCAATGCTGTAGCCAGAATTGTGAAAGTGAATCTTCAATTCAGCAAGTCTCCTTAGTTGACATTGGCTTTTGGACCTCGACACAGGTAGGACCCCTCTCAAGCCACTCAATTTAGTTTCTTAATCTCTTTTCTTTTTTTAGTTTCTTAATTTTAGACCACAAGCATCCGCCTTCTTCCACCAATGGCTCACCCCCAGTACCCGGACTGAACTCAGGACCTTCCGCTCGCAAGGCAGGTGCGACGCCACTGAGCTAAATCCCCAGCCCTTCCAATGGCTTTGTTTCCACGTACGTTCCCAAATAAAATGTTCAAAAATGTTGTTCATATATATTCTCTTTAATCCCTACACAAGCCTAACTTTAAGGCCACTTCTGGTTGTTTGTTTGTGTTTTGTTGGTGTGCTACAAATAGCAACAGATAGAAACTGATTCCTGGCAAATAACTGCAAGTGTAGCCAAACAATTCTGTTGAAGATATACATTCTGAAACTTTTCAGAGGCCAAAGGAGCAGGAAGACTGGGGAGGATAGAGTGAGAAGCAGATAAACAGAAAAGGAAAACAGATAATTTGGGGAGGAAAAGCAATTTCCATTTTCCTAAAGCATGCATATATTTGGTTTTGTTGTTTTGTTTTGTTTTGTTTGTGGTACTGAGGATCAAACCCAAAAGCTTGCACTTGTTTGGCAAGTGTGGTACCCCTGAGCTTCACCTCCAGGGCCATCTTTATTGAATATTCCCTAAGGCTGGTACTTAACAATGGAAATAAATGATGCTCTGAAGAGCAAATAAAAAGAATGATGAAGGGATACCAGGCCATAATGTGATTTAATTTCATAAATAGTGATATCAAATAAATAGTAGCTTGCTATTTCAGTGTCTTGGTTTTTTGTTTTTGTTTGTTTGGTTTTTTTTTTTTGGTACTGGGGATTGAACTCGGGTCCTTGTTCTTGCAAGGCAGGCCACCGAACCGCTGAGCTAAATCCCCAGCCCTTCAGTGTCTTGGCTTTGCAGGTTAATTAAACATGTTTCTTGACATAAAGGAGCGCAATTCTAAAAATAGACAACTCTCCCCAGTCAATCACCCTTTGGTTTGACAAAATACCTGAGTTGATCAACTTAAATGGAAAAAAAGGCTTATTTTGGCTCACAGTTTTAAAGGCTTCAGTCCATGGTCGCCTCCCCAGGCTTCCTTTGGCCCTGTGGCAGCACAGCACATGGCAGAGGAGACTGCATACCTCGAGGAGGCAGGGGAGAAAAGCTAGAGAGGCCAGGATCCCAACATCCCCATCAAGGGCATTCCTTCAATTTCCAAGACTCCTTTCTCTAGGCCCTGCCTACTAAATGGTCCACCACCTCCAATAAGGCCATGGGCTGGGGACACAAGTCTTTAACACATGAGCCTTAAGGGGGACATTCCAGATCCAAACTACAGCCCTCAGACACCCACTGTAGTGCTGGAGATGTAGCTCAGTGGTAGAGCACTTGCCTAGGCTATGTGAGGCCCTGGGTTCATCCCCTGTATGGGGAGGAGGACACCCTCAATCTAATTTCCATTTAAATCAAAAGTGAATTGGGCTGGGGATTTAGATCAGTGGTTCCACTGCTTGCCTCACAAGAGCAAGGATCCGAGTTCTATCCCCAGTACCAAAAAAAAAAAAAAAAGAAGCAAATTTGTAGCTGGAAGTGGTGGTGCAAATTTTGTAATCTCACCACATGGGAAACAGAGGTAGGAGGATCATGAGTTCAAGGCCAGCCTGAGCTACATAACAAGACCTTGTCTAGAAATAAATAAATATGTTAATTCATTAATTTTGGGTCTAAAACCAGGGGTAAGTGGGATCTTGCAAATAATGCACAGTTGTAAAAAATTGTCTGAAAGTACAGTCTTCTCCTAGAATAGTTTACTTTATCTTGCTTTCCTCTTAATGAATTCCTTAAAATGGCCTTGCTTTTAAAACAATGAGAAAATCGCTCATTTTTGTTTATTTTTTCTAGTTTTTTCAGCTGTCAAATGTATAGCACACTATGTTAGCCTTACTTATATCAAACCATTGGCCACACTGTGGCCTTGAAGCACTGTGTGGAGAGAGGTCCAGCAATCTGTCACCCAGCCTTCCCTGGGCACTGGCATCAGGGAGGACGTCCAGGTGGTGACACTTGACACATACGTGCTGTCTTGGAATCTTCTACAAAATAGTTGTCTTTGTGGGGCTGACATCTGTTTGTTTCCTTTTCTCTGTATCCTCAGGGAAGTTCAGAAGGCATTCAGTGACTAGGGTCACAAATGATTTGTAAGGGCCTTTTGGGCCCTGAAGATCTAAACATTAAAACCATGACAGGCAGTGGCCCTCAGTCCAAGCACATCTCAGACTAGACGAGTGACTTGTCTCTGAAGTCCCTGGAGGCTCTGGACAACACACAGTTATTTCATTGGGTTTGCTTTTGCTGGCCTTGGATTTAGATTAAAATAGAATTTATACACCTGTAGATATGAGAAAACATTGGTAATCAATAGTCTTCAAATTGGGGGCTAGGGGTGTGACTCCATGGTAGAGCCTCAGCTAGCATTCACAAGACCAAAAATAATAATAATTTTCAAATTTCTCCAAGTGAAAGCTCTTGAGGGTTTTGTTTGTTTGTTTGTTTTGTTTTGTTTTTTGAGACAGGGTCTCACTATGTAGTTGAGACTGACCTGGAACTCACCGTGTAGCCCAGGCTGGTCTCAAAATCATAGCAATCCTCCTGCCTCAGCCTCCTGAATGCTGAGATTACAGGCGTGCACCACCACACCCAGCAGTTTGAGAAATGTTTTATTAGGGAGGGTGACATAGTGTTGTCTAAGGTTATGGATCGGAGGAGGAAGACTGGGTTAAACTCCAAGTAGAAGGGACTACAAATCTTGCTGATTTCACAAGTTTGTCCCAGTCTCGCCTTTGCCTTGAATGCCCATCTTGAGTTCATGGATTCTGGGTGAGTTACACAATCTCCTTGTGCCACAGTGATCCAACGTGTAGGTGAACAGCGTTGCTTTAGTGCGTCATCACACAACCAGCTAAAGCAAAGAGTTCAGTAACATCATAAAATATATATCCTTGGGATGAAGATGTAACTCAGTGGTAGAGCATTTGCTCAGCATGTGTGAAGCTCAGAGTTTGGTCCCCAGCAACACAATACATTGATTAACTACAGTGCAGACCCTTGGGTAGCCAACTTTCAGTCAAAATGCAGAATGTTAGGCCGGGCGTGGTGGCGCATGCCTGTAATCCCAGCACTCGGGAGGCTGAGGCAGGAGGATTGCTGTGAGTTCGAGACCAGCCTGGGCTATACAATGAGTTCCAGGTCAGTCTCAACTACATAGTGAGACAGTGAGACCCTGTCTCAAAAAAAAAGAATAAGTTTAGGGGCCTGAGATTTAGCTCAGTGGCATTGCACCTGCCTCACAAGTGCATGGTTGTGAGTTGGATTGCTGGTGCCAGGCAAAAAAAAAAAAGAATAGGTTTATTTGGGTTTTTTTTTCCACTTTAATTGAGTTTATTGGTACATTTTAGAGATACAGTACAATTACATTCATTGTTGGGATCTTGTACCTCTACATGACAGGTCTTGGTTCTCATTTTTTCCCCTTGTCCCTGCCCTCCCTTAAAAATAGGTTTATTTGATTCAAAACATTTAGAAAACAAAATATCTAGAGACAGGCACTGTGAAAATTTTAAGAGTCATTCTTCTAGGCATTTTTTACTGTGTCTATATATATATAGGCACATGGAGACATAAAGTTTTATAAATGGAATTATAATATTTAATCTATGCCATTTGTTCTATTTTCACCCAACAATTTTTTGATTGCCACTAAGCACAGATTTGTAATAGTCTATTGTATATATGAGCCATATTTAATCAGTTCTTTGAGAACATTGTTCTCAAAATTTTACCCTTTAAACAACTAATATTCTCATATATCTTTGTGAATATATTTTCAACATAAACTCCCAATGGTAGGTAGCATTCCCTACTCAAAGAAGTGTACATAGGGCCGGGAATTTGGCTCATTGGTGCCTCACAAGCGCAAGGACCTGAGTTCAATCCCTGGTACCAAAAAAAAAAAAAAAAAAAAAAAAAAAAGAACTGTATATAAACATGTCACTTTCTGAACCTATTGCCAAAGTGTCTTTCTGAATGGTTATACATATTCGCACTTCCCGATATAGTGATTGCATGCTCATTTTTCATATGCTTTTCACAGGTTTGGCAATATTTTAAAATTGTAGGAAATATGTAAGAAAAAATTTTAAATCTCCTCATTTAGAACCAAGATCTTTCATGTAAGGGTACAAGATCCCAATGATGAATGTAACTACTGCATACTTAAAAAGTACCAATAAACTCAATAAGATAAAAGAAAAAATCTCTTCATCTGTGAGATTCCTATCTTATTTTGTATCTTTGAACAAATTATCTTCTAATCATGTTTACATGGTGATTAGGAGACTAGATATCTTTTAGGGGTTCTAGTTTTGCACACTAAAATGAGTACATACCATTCCCAAATCTATTTCTCAGTAACCTACTTTACTCCACATTTCCAATAACCACTACGTGCCACCAGAGGGCAGAGTCATTGCAGAAACATAAGCCTAAATGGGGCCACTTCTCAAGAAGTGCTGTTAATAACAGGATAGGGCAACAGAACTAATTGCAGGTAGCACCAACCCACACCCACTGCCTTTTCAAGAATTTCCAAGAACTCTTGGCAGCACTAACCTATTAGCTAGGCTATTAGCACCTCCAGATAATAGTTAGCACATTAGTAGGATTACCTTGCTTGGAGAGGTCACTTTCGATGAAAACCAGGAATATCTTTGTTCACTTTGTCATATCTGGGTTATGTTTATTTACATTCCTATAAATAACCTCAGACGCTGCTGAAGACAGCATGTTAAAATTTCATTTTAGGCCAGAAATTTCTCAAAGCAGCATTTCAAAATTTCATTTCAGGCTGGGGATATATTGCTCGGTGGTAAAGTGACTACCTGGCATGCTCAAGGGCCTGTGTTTGATCTCAGCACAGCAAAAGTAAGTAAAATTTCACTTAACAACTGGGTATACTGCATATACCATGTTATCTCTATGTCAAGTCCAAATGCACCAACGATAAACCTAATGTGAAAGAAAATACAATATGATTTTTAAAATGTATATTTGGTGCTTTTAACCAATAGCCAGGGCTTAATTCCTGTATTAGTGAGGCTATTGGCTG